TCCCCTCCCTATCCAGAAAATCCCTCACACAATTCCACAACCGCAACTTCACCATTTCTGTATCCCCCTTCCCCCTCTGGCCCACACAATCGCGTCTCTCCGGATGCGCCTCGTCAAGCATATACGCCTTTGCCGCAGCCTGCAAGTACAAGAAGTTCTCCGGCGACAAGCCCAGCGACGAGAACATCTTCGACATCGGCGGGCGCGTGTATTTCTTGCTGGTGGCCGAGGGTTGGCGGAAAAGCGCGGCGGCGGAGTGGACCCCTGCCGCGCGTGCGTCCGATAACGCTTGCTGTGGTGGTAGCTCGCGGATACTCAGGTCGTGTGCGCTTCCGTTCTGGTTTCCGCCCGCGGCTAGAACCTCGTCCACGTTGCCAGTACCATCGCCATACTGGCCTTCCTGCGGGACGTCATCCGTCATCGCCGGGTCGACATTGGCAATAGTCGATGCCCGCTTCCTCTTCCTCGGCAGGTTCGTTGGACCCCTTGCTACATTCACATGGCGTAGCTGTCTCCTCGCCGCCGCTGCCGCCGCCGTAGTAGTAGTGGCTGTCGGCACACCACTACTCCCATCTACCGACCCCGACCCCGACCCCGCGCCCGAAGGCATCCCACCATATTGCCCCTGCCCACCCCCCGTCGTCGGATCACCCACAAACCCATCACCTAAATGCAGGCCGTCCCCACCACCACCCGCTTCCCCCGAGGCGCCAGACACAGGATTGGGCGAAGGATATCCCTCGAGATGGCCGTGCAGCGTGCGCCCATGGGCCATCACGCTGGCATCTCCCTCGTCGTTCTGCGCCCAGTCGACATCCTGTCCCGCCGCGGCCGTAGCGGCTTCCACAAGGCCTGCTAAGTGGTTATCTGCAGCGTAGCTGGCGGCGGCTGCGCTAGCGGCGACAGCCAGGTTATGCTGCTGCTGCTGCTGTTGCTGTGCGCTGTTTGAGAGGTGGTGGCGGTGGTGGTGATGGTGGTGTGGGGAGTTGTGTGTTGGGAAGTCCAGGGCTGAGGGCTTGGGGGAGGTCAAGGTCATATCTTCTGGATTGTTGGACATGAACTAAACTTTTGTCGTTCTTGTAAGCGCGATTGAAGTAGAAGAGAAGCGTGGGGCGCGGCAAGGTACCAGTAACTAGCGAAGAGGCGTGCGGTAGATATAGATAAGAGTGCGATGAGGCAGCTCTATTTTATGCCAAAACCCAAATGTTAGCCAGGGACGCGGACTGTGCGAGGAACTGGGAGGGAGGGCGAAATCGATAATAGCGATTGATAATAAAAAGAGGACTCTCTACCTGAATACCCAACACTGCTGCGCAAAACCCCCAATTGGCCACGTTCTTAAGCAAAAATCCGTTCCACAAGCCTCACGAACGAGCTCTCAAGGATCCTCAAGACGCATCGAAGGTCGCGAGAAGGGCCAGAAGTATATTAAATATATATACAACGCGCTGTTCCTACCTCTCTGTCTATCCCCCTCCTCCACGCGGCCGGTTGATTCAAATTGAGCTTCCAAATCTCAACAAAAACTCCCCACGCTCTCGACGCAATGTGCGTCCAGAAGCTCAAAAGCAAAGATTTTTCAAAAGAATGGAAGAAGGAAAAAGGAAAAGGAGACAGTCCCTCCACTGAAGAAGTCTGATAGATTGATACTTGTATAGATAGATCTAGATATTGCCTGCTGGATGTCGGTTTGCGATGTTTGTCGTGTTTGAATTGATTGCAACGGGGGAAAGAGTCAAACAAAAGAATTTCCGGCGAAAAGAAAAAATGGAAACAGTTGGAGTGGCAGGGTCACGTGGGAAGGAGGTTATGTAAGATGTTGGTCATCGGCGGACGCCAAGCTCGGACATGCAAGTACGGGGAACATATGTAAATACAGATTAGTATGCCAGTATGCCAGTATACTAGTATACTAGGACACATTATCCTCCTGATCATTCCCTGTACCGCTCCCCTCACACCTGTGGGCTTGATTCCTCTCTCCGCGAGGAAAAAAAAGGAAACATCCAGTTCGCTGTGAAACGTGAGCATGATGTCTTCCACATCTTGCGCAATCAGCCAGCCCTTACTTAGGCTTACCAATCTTGCCATAGTATCTTTTCTGACCTTTTTAATTATATTTTCTTTTATTTTTGTAATTTTGTTTTTTTTCAACCATCTGTTTTGCGGTCAATGGGTGACGGGGACATACGGCTGCATGACATGTGAGTACAGCACATGTCTATATATACTAGTATATAGTATATACTCGCCCAGGGGAGAGAAGGAGGAATCATGAGGTTGAGATGAGAACACGGGATGCCACCAAAATGGAAAATAAAAAAATAAAAAATAAAAAATTGCGCCGAATGAAGTAGTTATTCACACACTCCTGAAATAAGCGGGCGGGAAATACTCGCAAGATGTTCAAGAACCGCTTCTTTCCCCCCCACACACACAAACGAAAAGGATATATCCTAGCGGGAGGTTCTAGATGGAAGGGAATGGTGCTCGGGGACGTTAAAAGCCTGTGACGGGGAATTGGGGTTTCATGACCGTGAGAGTGGCAGCAAATCGTCTGGAGGAGTCGAGCAAATGAGAAAGGAAAGAAACACAAAGAAACAAAACTCAGTGTCTCTCTTGCTTCTCCTGCATGGTTTGATTGCTCAAAAATAAAATATTCAAAACCCATCCCCTTCCTTCCATTCCCTCCCTGCCTCCTGAGCGCGGATTCGCGGATCCCTGCCCCGCTCCTGCGCTCGCGCAACTATTTTCATCAACTCCTGCTTCGCGGCCTCTAACTGAGCCTCCAGAAGTGCTCCCTTCCCTAACTCAGGCTGCTCCATGTTCTCGATCTCCTTGCGCGACTTGCCCTCCCTTTCCGCATCCGCCACCACACCCGCCAGCCTGCGCCATTTCTCTAGATCCTTCTTCAAGCCTTCCTCACGTCTCAGGAGGCCGAGATACTCACCCACCCCTTTGGCGCCACCGAAACATAACCCGTACCCGTCACAGTAACACACATGCTTCGCGGGGCAGAAGACCGTCTGGCCCGCGAACAGCACCTGCCAGAGATACTCCCACACGCGGCCGGAGATCGAGTCGCTCAGCTCCGTGCGCAGGATCCAGTCGCGGTAGAACACATATCTGGCCCGCGGGATGGCGCGGGCACGGGCGCGCGAGATGGCGAACTGGGCACAGCACGCCTGCGCAAGGACTTCGGGGACCTCGATTCCCGGGAACAACGCCCTCCACGCTGTCGCGAGGTTGGCTTCCTCCGGTTTGCCCGTGTCTGCTTCCGTCTTGCCCGGGTGTAACCAGGCCGGGCAGCCGGGGTCCCAGTTGCAGCGCAGATTCATGTAACCCTCCCGCGTCACGCGTTCGCTGCTCAGCCTGTTGATGTGCGCGACGGCGTCCATGGCGAGTGCGTGCTCGTTGTGCCAGCCGATCCGGTGAGAATGCATGAATATCATGATGTCCGGGAGGTTGTCGTAGTGGTCAATGAGGTAGGTGAGGTAGACCATTGCTTCATGGCCCTTGTTGAGGGGCGAGTGGAGGGGGGCGTGGGGGTCGTCGACGACGTAGACGAAGGCTTCTACATCAACGAGCTGGGTGGAGACCCAGTCGGCATCTTCCCTTTGCAGCCGGGGGATGATCAGGGCCCTTGAGTGGTTGGAACCGGGTGGTTTGGAGGACCCTGGGGGGAGGGAAGGTTAACTGAGCTACATGTGATGGGAGGAGCAAAATGGAGAGAGACAGAGATAGAGAGACATCTCTACTAGATATAGGGAGCTAAAGCTGGAGGAACTACCTAGAGAAAGGTTTGCCAGAGTTGGAGAATGTTGTCTAGATGCGTGTCTGTTCCAAGGGTTGGCTACAACGCCATGATTGTCGGCCATCCGTCTATGCCAGAGGAGGGTGATAAGGAAAGCGAGGACGATAAAGAAGAAGAGCGACCCGCGGGTGAGGACTTTCGAAGGTCGCGAGTACATTGCCTCATTGATTCATCCCATCCGTGTATCAAAAATATACGGATTTTGGCGTCAAACTCCAGTATTGGTCAATGTGAATCAATTGACCGATTTATTTCCGAGACAAAGGATGTGGGATTCAGTCCATAAAAAATTTTGCTATCTCTTTTCTCCAATCCGTTGTGATCCCCTACCTCCCCGTTTTGAAGCTGCAGCACAGGTAGGCAGGGTTTGATCTGAACTGGATGATGATTTACGGAGAGGGCATTCCGCCAGATATAAAGGGGCCAGAACACCAAACGATTTGCCGCTCCAAAATGAACGGCGGAATGCATGTGACGGAGCGCATCGTATTATCCAATTAAAGGGGCATGCATCACATACAAAGGGACAAGCAAGGCAATGCCCGTAATGTCCGCATACAGGCGCAGGACCGGGATCCAGCTTCCAAGCAAGGACTGCAAGCGCAGGGAGGATCTTCGTTTGCAACACGGCTGGTAACCGCATTACAGATGGACGCAGGGGGGTTTCTTTTGTATGCATGAACTACATTGCACTGTACTGTAGTACAGTACACGAGTACCTGCATACATACATGCCTGCCTGCCTGCCCGCCTGCCTGCTTAATAGTGAGATATTGCTATGGCTGATGATAACTTAGATAATAAATCAATCGCAAAATAGAAAAGTGATCCATAGATCTCCTTCCTGACCCAGAGATCCGCAGACCCACACATATCGCTGGAACCTCCTCGCAAGCGGGCGCGGTGGAGACGACGCACGCAGCGATCCAACCCCGCCGACCACTCAGGTCGCCGCTCGGGGTTGCGATTTTCACGATGTTACGCGTACCTGGGAATGCGCCTGCCTGGTACATGTCCTTCTGTGTAGGCAACAGGTCCACGAAGGGACTTGAAGGGACTTGAAAGGACTTGGTTATCCCGCTAGACCTTGGTCCACTGCGTAGCTGGGTGAGTAAGGAAGCAGGGTGCAGTTGGGCCGTTAGTAGTCGGTGGGCCCACACGCATCACCGCCCCTAGTCGGGTGAGTTAGCACGCCAAGCACCAAAGAATCCCACAGAAAGAGCGCCTACAGTATATACAGAGTAGTGAGAGCCGATATCGAGACTTCCCCCAGGCGCCTCGAATCTCAGGTGGGGAAAATGGAAACACGTGTTGATTTTTGCACGGCGCATCGCGAACTGCTTTTGAATCCTAGTAACAGCCAGCTAATAATAGCGAGCCGTCCCTGCTGGGCCGAACGCCACAAGCCTAGGTCCACGAAGCTTGGTTGAGTAGCGCGCCCGGCTTCAAAGCTTATTAGCTGCCCCCAAGAAAAGGAACTTAGGAGTTATACTTTGCTAGAAGCAGCAAAGTGGGAAAAGCTTTCGGCCTCATAACACCAATCAATGTTTTTATCTTTTTTCTTTCTTCATATGGGATAACGGCCCTGGGTAAATACGGAGAACGACGGCTGGTCGAGTTTCAAAGCGTCCCATGGTCCGAAGCCTACAGCGCACTTGGCTCGTTGGATCTGGTTCATCAGGCAAGAAAAATATCCCAACACCTGTATGTCCCTTCCCAAGGAGAAGCGGGGGTGGTGGAAGAGCGGCCAGAGCGCGTTCCAACAAAAAAGGGGAGTCAGCTCAAGGCCCCGTGTAATTTTTCGAATCGTCGTCACCACGGAGAACCTCCCAATGGCTCGGCCTGATGAATCACTTGTGGGCATGTGTCTTTCATTTCGCCTGGCTAAGGGGGAAAAACAAGACACGCGGCATATCGAAACGTGGAACAAACCACCTACTATTTCGTACGTGTGCAGCGGATGGTATATCCTGCGTGTCCTGTGTTATTTTATGGTTGATTTCTATGGTACAGGAGTGGTCTTACTTAGGCAATACTAGTATGTAGTGGCGATTCCCGACGGCCTGAGGTTATTGTTTTTGGAATCAAATCTCTCTTTTGCGCGGGATGTTTTGCGCGGGATGCGTGGGAGGTTGTGGCGGGGCCGAACGGGGGCTGTTCTTTCGAATGGTTGAAATGAAACCCAAGGCCAGATGACGAGTGTGTTCAAGACAGCATGCTCCGTCAATTTGGGAAGGGCCTGGAGACATGCACATTGGTAATCGACTCGATAGTGGATGGATGCCCTACAAGATCCAAGTTTTGTATTGGGAGGAGAGGAGGAGAGGGGAGGGGAAAGAAAAAGAGAGCGAGAGATCACAGAAAAACGCTGGAACTTTCATATATCTAACCCAGATAGATAGAAGAAAGACGAAGGACGCACAAACTGTTTATGGATCAATCTCAGACTGCACTCTGTGTCTCTGACCCAGCTTCTTGTTGTTGCATCCCTAGACCGTTCGTCACGAGTGGTATAGGTACTGGGCAAGCCGTGACCGACTCGGCCTCTGTAATGTAGAAATAGGATGGATAGCGTACTTTTTATATATACTTGGAATACTTGGAATACCTGGAGTTTGAGTATTTATCCCCACCCTGATATGTCTTAGAAGGAATCATCTTCAAACGGAGGGAGGCAGTTGAAATGGTATGGATGCTGTCATGCACACGGCATGCATAAACAGGCCAAACGAAGAGAGCCGAACAGCCACGAAAAAAAAAAAAAAAAAAAAAAGGTTAGATTATATAGTTCTGATCTAGAAATACAAACTGTGAAAGCAAATGCAATGTGCGTGATTCACAGGTTTTGTCTTATTTATTTTTTTTTTTATTTTTCTGGGAGCCTCAAAAAAAGCGGCAGCGAGAACTATCGCTATGAGAAAATAGAAGAAAAAGGAGTAAAAACCAAGGACAGGGATATGAAAAGAATTAAGATTGCAAAATGTAGATCATACATATCTTTCGATTTTTAAGCGAAAAACCCAAAAGAAATGGCAGCGGGTAAAAAAAGGGATGATTGCAATTACATAAAATCGAGAAGGTAGTTATACAATTGATGTTCAATTTTCCTTCCTTATTTTTTATTATCTTTGTTTCTGCCTTCTGTCGTTGGCTTATCACATTGTTTGGTCTACCACACACGGTTGGCGTCATGAATTTGCTCGCGCCTTATCAAGCACTATCTTCTATGTAATCTTCTACTGTGGCTGCGCGGGATTTGCCCTTAGACAACGATTGATCTGACACCTCCCGCCTCTCATCAATATTGTCTCCTTCTTCCTCTGTCGCTGGTGATGTGTCATCACCAGGCGCTGCAGCTACAGGCTTGTAAATTGTTTCGTTCGATATTGTTGAACCCCAGTCTGGAGGAGCAGAAGAGGAGCTAGCTGAAGTGTGGCCCCTCGTCGAACTGGTCTGTTCCGGCTCAGCATGGGATCCATGACTTGGCGAGGAGAATGGGAATGCCAGGTCTGGAGAAGTTGAATCCATGTTAGGCTGTTCAACGTTCAAAGACGCGTGGTGGAGCGATGTCCCGCGATCGGTCGTTTCGGTAGTAGAGGGTGTGAAAGTGGGTAATGTTTGGGAGGATAATTGAGTATTAGGCGTTGATGATGCGTGTGTCGGGAATGGAGGATTTGCAGAATGAAAAGTAGAAATTTGGGTAGATGCTTGTCCCGCATAGTTAACCTGTTGTAGAGGTAACAATGTCCAACCTTGCGGCAGGCTAAGCCCTTCAGGGAGACGACTATCACCCGAGCCAAGTGCAGGGATTTGTGGATTGGATGTGAACTGCCTTTGGGTGCCAGTGGAGGAAACATGTGATGATGCTATACCAGTAGGGGTAACAGCTGGAGCAGGTACCTGTGGCTGTGGCTGTGGCTGTGGATGTGGATGTGGATGTGGCTGATGTGGTGGTTGTGTATGCGGATGCGCCACGTTTGCTTGAGCAGCACGAAGTCTGGTTAATTCAGCTTGTAACAAACGGACCACTTGTAGTTGCTCAGCCGTAGTCCGCAAGCTTTCAATTACTTGTGAAATATGCTGCTCAACTTGCTGAAGCTGAGCCTGTGTATGGTGGAGGTTGATTTGTGCGTTTGGTACGGTTGGTTGTGGAATTTGTTGGACTGGAGCCGGTTGTTGGACTGGAGGCGGTCGCTCAAAGCCAAATCCAAAGCCAAATTGTTGCGGTCCAGCTGGCAGGTTGTCTGGGTTACCTCCAGCCTGAGCAGGTGGTGCTTGGCCATTGTGAACCTGTTGTGCTAGGTTT